TAAATACCTTTTCATCTGTTCTAACAACACTTGCTTATCAGACAGTACACTATACAGAATGTATTATCACTGAAACCAATTAGTTTGGATTAGCTTCATTTCATCCCCCTCCCTGGAGTGCAGATAAGGGCTGCTGCCTCCAATCTGGCCATGCCCACTCTCCTTTTTGACCTGGCCTGTGCATCGTGGCACAGAACTGCTCAGGTCTTGCAAAATGCTTGGAGAAATCATCAAATAACTAAGAATATTCAGAGCAATGGAAGGCACTGCTAATGGAGAAGGTACTCACTTAGGAAATAGGAAATGCAACAGGTTTTGGGGGTGTTTTACCTATCAAAGCCACCCAGTAAACAGGATGATGGGGAGCGGGGCAGCAATACCTGCATCTTTATTATGGCCTGCAGAAGTACTTAAATTGGGTTCGAGGAATCAAGCAATTTACAACAAAGTGAAACAGTTAAGTGTGAAATACTTTTCAAGGTAAATTGTTACATGCAAAATAACATGGAATTATTCATTTGAAAAGTTTTTAGAATTAGCAAAAACGTAAGTTTCTTTAAACAGGTTGTGGGGCAAGAAAGTAACTAATATAGCACAACAATGTATACTAGAAATAGTAAAACACATAGGAAAACATTTAATCTTCTAGATCATCTGCATATATCAGTCCTTCACTTAACATTGCATCTATTTGATGAATCCATTTTTCAGTGACATGTATGCTCTGCATTTTTCAGATTCATATACACATTAGGCAGATGTCTTTGCTGCCAGAGACATCCAAACCTTGTCCTCTGGCTGACTGCTACTCTAAATTAGTGTGCTGGTTTGGGTTGGGAGGGAATTAATTTTTTTCACAGTAGCTAGTATTGTGGTGCCGTGTTTTGGATTTGTGCTGAAGATAGTGCTGGTAATTCAGAGATGTTTCTGTTACTGCTGAGCTAGGCTCACATGGAGTCAAGGCCTTTGCTGCTCCTCACACTGCCCCACCAGGGAGGAGGCTTGGAGTGCACAAGGAGCTGGGAGGGGACACGGCTGAGACAGCTGATCCCAACTGACCACAGGGATATCCCACACCATATGGTGTCATGCTCAGCATATAAAGCTGGGGGAAGGAGGACATGTTTGGAGTGACTGCTTTTGTCTTCCCAAGTCACCGTTCCCCGTGGTGGAGCCCTGCTGTCCTGGGGATGACCGAAAACCTCCCACACAGCATGGGAAGTGGTGGATAAATGCCTTGTTTGGCTTTGTCCATGCGCACCACTTTTGCTTTAGCTATTTAACCATCTTCACTTCAATTCACAAGTCTTCTCACTTTTACCCTTCTGATTCTCTTTCCCCACTGGTGGGGACTGAGGGAGCAGCTGTGCAGCATTTAGTTGGCAGCTGCGGCTAAACCACAACAATCAGTCAACATCAACCACCTGTAGAAGATTCCCCCTACAGGAAGTAAACCAAATGACAGTTCAGTTCCATTCACTCTCTCTCCACTTTGAACAAACAGACTGATGTAGCACATCTGTGCTGTGGTCAAGTGGTTAAAGCGTGGCACTGTCAACGCTGAGACCCAGGTTCGATTCCGGGTCAGGACACTCCCCGGGCAGATGGAGCTCCTTAGCCCTGTAAGGCAATCCATCTACGTCCTGAGGACCTCGCTGCCACCGTCCAAGCTCGCTTGGCCCCGGCAGATGAACCTTAGGATTAAAGGGTGGGCTCAGTTCCGCGCACACTGTGTCTCACCTAAAAAATCCAATGCGCAGGCTGGAAGGTGTAAAGACCTTCCCCAGTTCTTCGTTAGCGAAGACTGGCCATTACTATTACATTACACATTAACATCTGTCTTTGGTAAAGCCAAGCTGTGCTGTCGGTGTGACAATACCAAACTAAGCTGTGTGCCGCTCTGTAGCCTCTCTACAAGGCCATTTGTTTCCAAAGTATAACAATTCACAATAGTGGATATGTGCTGTACAACCTCCTGCCATTGCTTATTGCTCACTCACCCCACAGCTGCTGCTACGCAATCACAAAGCAAGGAAATAATTTCCAACTGTTATTAGAACAACCTGACAGAATCCAAAATCTAGAAAGTAAGGCACAAGACCTATCACAAAGGTAAAATCACAGCAAGGTAACACTGCATGCTGCAAACCCTTCTCAGACTATTACACAAGTAAGGGTCCCCACAGAGTGAACAAGCTAGTCTACATTCAAGTGCTTTTTACTCCAGAAATCTGAAACTACCTAATTCACACTACTAATAGATTTCTCAGGGTTCAACCAAACTTACACCACATACTAAAGAAAGTTCTATTCATTTAATGATAAAAGCCAAAGAAAAAACCTCCAAGAACATTTTAAAATAAAGGATGCTTAGTCACAAACTATCTCTCCAAGTTATCTGGTTTTGCTGCTCTTAATTGCATTCTCTAAAATAAATTATGATGAAGTTTTTAGTGTCTTGCACTCAATCAGTAAGGGTTATTGCTGGGCTAGCATGAACTATCGTTCAAACAATAAACACAAAAATAACGTATTAAAACAATAACTACAGATAAGAATAGGCATACAGTAAAGGTAGACCTTTCTTAATTTTAAAAATTTTAAAAAGCTGTATTTTAGAGACTACTTTGGCTTGCTTTCCTCTGACAAGACTAAACAGCACAGAAGTGATTCTGGAGTCATCCTGTGGTATGTCACTCCAGCATCTTTGCCCGTGGGTCTTTATTTACTTTGCCACTTCCCAGGGTAAATACACTGACATTTACAAGCCTCTTTACAATGTAAAAAAAATCCATTCTCCAGTTTGCACGCTGACAAAACAAACGGGGATGTGAAATCTTCCGTGGTGGACTTTTGTTAACAAATCTTCCCCCCGTAAAACGCATCCTCATTCAGAACGCTACAATATATGGTGGGTGTGTATAATTCACTGGTATGTGTGAAAGAACATGGGAAACTGAGCGTTTATCAGCCTGTAGCAACCCGACTATTATTGAGCTCTACTGGCCTGGGTCAGCCACTGCCCCTGCACAGCCTTTCCGATTTAGCGACTATCACTCTCTCTATGACTTACAAACCCAGGCGCCCGTGGGGTTTTCTCTTCCCCTCAGCCAGAACCGCCGCTCCCGGGCCGGCAGCGGGTTCCCAGGCTCCACTGCCGCCTCTGCGCTTGGAGACAACCCCTGCGCTTACCTGAACCGCCTCTATCCCAGCGCATCCCGCCGCCTCCCCGCTTCGTCAGCCGGTCCTCCGCTGGCAGCCGCGAGTAGCGGGGATGCCCGGCCCCAGCCCTCCATCCCCAGCGGGGAGCGCGGCCAAGCGGCGCTTCCCCAGCCCCGGGCCGAGGTGACCCCAGGGAGTGGTGACCCCGGGCGGCTCTCCAGGACCGCTCCCCCCTGTCCGGGCAGCCGCTCGGCCCCCGCCTCCCGCCCGGAGCTCGCGATGTCGCCGGGAATCAGCCGCGTCTCCCCCGCTCCCCCCTCACCTGCAGGCGCGGGCGGGTCCCCGAGACCCCCGATGGCCGCCGGGATGGAGCGGGCGCTCCCTACCTGCCCGCTGCCCCCCGCTCCATGCGCGCCGCGCCCGCTGCTCCAGCGGAGGGCGGGGCACTCCCGGCCGGGAGGCGGTGCTGTGCCCGGACCGGAGGGGCGGTGCTGTGCCCGGCCCGGGGGGGGCGGCGCTGTGCCTGGCCCGGGGGCGGAGGGGCGGTGCGGACCGGGGGGAGGTTCCGTGCCGGGGCCGGCGGGGCCGGAGCCGCCTCACGGGTGCGCGCGCTGCCCGCGCGGGGGGCGCTGGGGGGACACAGGCGGGCAGCGCCGGTGTGTGATGGGACACGGGTGTGTCCAGCACATCTACACGTGTGTTAGCAAAAGAGAGGGGGACAGCTGTTTGTCAGGTTTGAGGCATCTGATTAATTTTTTTCCTTTGTACTAGTCTTCTGTAAAGCACAAAGCCCTGCCGGACGCATAGTGGTTATTTTCAGAATGGTTTAATTCATACGCGTATATTATTTATGTACCTGCTTTTTTGTTGTTGTTGTTTTGTTGTTGTTGTTGTTTTCTTTGTTTTTCCACAAAACCAACCAAACTGAGGAAACTTGTCCGGAAATTACAGAATTTCAGATTCTCTCCTCTCTCCCTATCTTGCACCTTATCCTGACAACTGTTACTGCGCAGGCTGAGGTAAGAATCTAATTGCAATGCTGCAGCCTAAGAGCTCGCTACACTAATGTAGCAACACTCATTTGTAGAGTAAACAATCTCCACAGACCATCACTAGCAGAAGACTGCGGAGGGAAGAGATGAAGGGCACCCACCATCCCACTGCTCCATTTGGAGCTGTTTCTGCTGCGGTCCACACCCAAAGCTCGCACTTCCACATCACTCTACAGAGTATCTGATCTGCACATCTATGATGATTATTAGAGTTTGTGCTTTTAATTTGTTCGGTGTATCCTACCTTCATGACATGACTCTAAATTCACAACAGGGAAAACTTCTTTTTTTTAAATACCACTCAAATATGACTGCTGCCTAAAACTTTGACTCTCATGTCTTAACATAAAATAATAAATTACACTTTAAAAATTATGAGGTAAATAATTTTTTCTTTATAGCACTAAGATAATTCTTCATGTCAAATGTATTGTTGAAATGATACATACTGCTTTTCAGCCTTGACAACTAGAGAGTTAACATCTGTGTTTCTAATTGTCTTAGAATAAATTATATGAAAAAGGGATTTAAGCATCACGAGCACACAAACATTATCCTACTAGGATCCTAAACAGTACTAACATCAAAAGTGTAAGTGCAAATCATATTAAACATCTTTCCGAAAGCATACAGCTTTGATTATTTTTTATTTTTGCACATCTATTATAATAAATTCTAATCACTACTTATTATTTCTAACACTTTTTATATTCACGTTTTATTTTCATAGCATCTCTTGATAGCCAATAGTTTGTAGTGAAAAAAAAAAAACAAAGAACCATTAAATACAATAAAAAATGAAGTCTTTATTCTTTTGGCTCAACTGTAATGTGGTTTACTGTTCTTTATGGTAATAGCATTTTCCTGCATGCAGTTCACCGACACACAAGTCAATATTTTTGTAAAAGGAGGAGTCAACATCGAATTTTTGCTTGTGTAAGAAACACAAAATGTCCTGATGTGATCAATTATACAAGTTTGCTATTTAATTCCTGTGGAAAAAAAAGCATTGTGGATCCCATATTATATTTAGAACAGTTCTAGTGCAGCATGAATCAACAAGAATAAGAATAGTCTATGTAAACAAACACTGGTAAAGATTTCATGAATAAAAAGACTACCTTGAGACTTCTGATGCAGGCAGTGCTAGAATTTTAAACAAATCTTCCCCACCACATTTCAATTACAAGTTATATCTATTTGGAAGCAAGTGCATTTTGGACTCAGTTTGAAACTTATTTCACATTAAAATGTGTGCAAAAATACAGTACTAATAAAAAAGCAGAAACCTAAAGCTACCCCATTCTTTCCTTTGTTTCTTATTTTGTGAAGTTCTTGAATTAAAAAGTGCTATGGATAGAAAGTAACAAAAGTGACAGTAACATCAACCTGAAGATAATTCTCATTTCTTATTTTATGTACAAAACGCTGAAAAATAAAATAAAATGGTATTTTTTACAATATTTATATTTTCTTAGAAAATTCTATCCATGTATTTTTCAACAGATTAAGCAGTTTGCAACATATCCTGTACAGTCTGACTATACACCGTACAGTAGTCACTTAAAATTTCAGAATGCAAAGCAAGAAGCTCTTAAATAGCTGCAAACTATTGCTTGATGTTGTGAAAGAATGATGACCGATTGAACAATTTATTTCACTTAACCACTGAGATATGGCTTCCCATATTAGACTCTTAACAGTGGAAGGAGTAGAATTACAGCAGCAAAGGCAAGATAAACATGCATCAGTGATAGCTTCCAAACTATCTATAATGGTACAGAATACTTCATCTTAGCTGTTGAGAGCTTGCAAATTACACTTACTTGTGGTACATATTTGATGCAATAAATATTGTGCACGTCATTATTTGTTTGCTCAAACATGCACCACGGGATAAAATAACTATTTACATAGATGGTACTTTTTTAATCAACACATACAATGTCAACCTTGCTGAGAGCAGGAGATGGCTAAACGATACTGCAGGGTGAAGCAGAACAACTTTATAATTCTTAAGTTTTGCAGGTTTTTGGTAAACACAATTTCCCAAGGTCAGGTAGGCGGTTTTTCGCACAAGAATGCTTAAAAGTGGACTCACGTCCCTTGGAAAAATTTTTACGCAGAGTTTGTTCAACTACAGTTAAATGACTTATGAAAAAATAAAACATCTGTTCTATTATTGTAGACTCTATGGGACTTTACAGGCACATTAAGATTTGTCTGGATGAGATACTAGATGGATACTGTTATTAAGCACCTCAAAATATAGAGCCACCCTGAAACATGGAAGTAGTCAGACTGCTGCTTTGTGCGACGTCATGTTTTTCCATGCATGAACTACAAGTGCAGCATGCCTTCATGCAAATCACTTCAGTCTGTACATTATAGAGAATCCGAGAGTAGAACACCTGGTCCTCATACCCCCTTCCCCAACATAAAACCCATTTACAAAAATAGTCACATATAATAGTAAACAACCTGTGAATTAAAAAATGATAAGTTCACCAACACTGATTTTTGTAAAAATATGGCAAATGTGACTGCTGAAATGCTAACAGTGGATACAATTTTTGTACTGTGTGTTTCATGTTAAACACAGAGACTCATAGGTTTGCACCCTTTTTTTTTTTGACTGGTCCCTACCATCTGATTGGCCATTTTATCATCTCTTCAGCACTGTCAGCTGGTACTAAAAACAACAACCTCCTCTCAAGATGTTACCCTGTTTTACAGAGTTGCAGTTTGATGACGAGGGGTCACTGTCTTGTTATAGGCACTGACCTTATATATATATATATGTAATTATATATATATCTATATATGTAAAAACTGACAGTTTGGCATGTACCTCCTACAGGAGTCCTGTTGACACAAATACATACTTTTTTCAGGCTGTAAACAGTTTATCACAAACATCATTCTGTGTTACTTTTTACTTTCCTTGCTGTCTTTACCTTTGTCTTCTTTTTCTGATTTGTCTTTTTCATATTTATCCTTATCTGGCTTTGTTACACTGTCATAAGAAGGTGGGGAGGTTGTGGATGGGGTCATGTCTGTTTTTTCTGGAGTGGAGTTCTCATTTAGTTTATCCATAATCATATCTTCTTTCATGGGCAGATCGTCCTCCTCTTTACCTTTATCCTGACTAAATATACATGACACTTTTTTGAATTTTTGCCTTAAAAGATGGCGTCTGTAAGCACGCTGAATGATGACAGCAGACACCTCCTCCTGCTTCCGTTTCAGTGTGGTTGTAATTGGTTCATAGGAGACTTTAGAAGGATTGGCTGCCATAAACCGATCTTCCATCTGTATTCTGAGGGCATCCATCTCTCCACTTTCCCCCAAAACACGCTTTGTGAAAGCAAACAGGATGTCAAGGCAGTGAATCCTGTCACCACTCACCATGGGCAGATCCATCGCAATGAGCTGCACTTTGTTTGGTTTTGCGATGAGAAGAGGTGGATCTAATGAAGCTGCAAAATCCGATAGTTTACTGAACTCTATGAATTGTGTTGCATCGGGATCAAATTTCTCCCAGACTTCATAGAACATCTCAAAGTCATCCTCGCTCAAGGGTTCAGCACTTTCCTCAGTAGCGACACTGAAGTTCTCCAAAATCACAGCAATGTACATGTTCACCACTACCAGAAAGGAGATGATGATGTAGCTGACAAAGAAGAAGATCCCAACAGAAGGGTTGCCACAGTCACCTTTCACAGAGCTCCCCGGATGATCTTTATGGGGATCGCAGTCGGGCTCCCCACTG